TGAGACCATTGCTCCTTGTTCTGTCATCTGCCACCACTGAGAACAGCCGAGCTCCAACAGTCCCACTATTGAATATTTTGCGTAGCACTTAAAGTTACAATATATATGTTAGTACAATGTTTTCCCGGAGTAAGATCTGGATGGAATGGCAGGGTTCTATTTTCCAGCATCCTGTACTTTTAAGAGCTGGAACTCTGCTGAACAGGTGAGAGGTGACATGGCTCTGTTGAATAGGGTATGATCATGGCCAAGTTTGGTGCTCTTGGAAGACACTCCAGCGGTGGTTAGCTTGGGATTCTGTCAAATTTTTTAATACAATGCTCCAGTTTAAAGTAGCACACTGGTCTATTTTCCCTGTACATTGTACACTATATTTAGGGATGGAGGAATTGTTCCATTACTCGGACTAAACTTTTGAGGATCAAAGCAAAGTATGGAACTAAATTACTTGATTGAAGAGTTCTCAGATACATCATTGATGTCTTATCTTCCTGGTTTCTATATTAACTTTCATCATCTTCAGCTCATGACAAGCCAGGAAGAGGGTAAGTTTTTACTATGTAAAATTTGCCACAAGAATTGTTCATGTTTATACCATTTCCCATTCTTTTCTCCTATAAATTGTCATGAAAATGGATTTCATTATTAACATTGAACAAACCCTGCATAGTAATTTATACAAACCAGAATCTGCAAAGTCTAGTTATGGGATCCGGCAACTGAGTTGTCTTTGCTGCTTCTTCAAAACCTGGACTTTCATGAAATTCAATCCCTTTCCATCCAGGATGCAACAGTGCCTACAGAAATTAGCCGACACTGACCATTCATGTGACAGAGCAATATGGCAGTTACAGTACTGTCAACCTCAAAAGTTCAAAAATCATGAATCAGACTTTGCAAATCATGAATTTAAAAATAAAAAAAGATTAAATCATAAATGCTATGATTTGCAATCTGGAATTACTCCAGGATCCATCCCTACATGGGTTAATAGCTGGATCTGAAACCATAACTTTGTAATCTACAGTACAGACCACTTCCTCTTCAATGGTGAAAAGGACAGGAAATAAAGATTTGTCTATTAACAGCTGTTTTGTACATCAACCGCTTATGAGACAAAGCACTCCTTCTATTCTGAAAGACTTTTAATATCATAGAAATGTATGGTTGGAAGGGGCCTCAAGTTGCAGGGCCGGCTCCAGGCACCAGCCCACCAAGCATGTGCTTGGGGTGGCGCCTGGAGGGGGGTGGCACGGCGGGGCCCCGGCCGGGCTTGCCGCCCTCCCCCTGGTGCTCCGGCCGGTCGGGGAGAGCGGCCCCAGCCGGGGTCGCC